CTCTGGGCTGTCAAAGCTCCGCTCACATAGTGAGCGGAGCGGAGTTGAGACCGCATTGGCCGCGGCTAATCCCCCGCACAGCGGCGCGCCGCGCTTGATTGGACACACGCCTGTTGGCGCGCGGCATCCAAAATGGCAACCGGTGTAAACATTTATATCCGAGACGCCACGTCTTCTGCTGTTTGGGGACTGCCTAAAGTCGAGAGCTTTACAAATGAACAGTTTGTGGCACTGGAGTCATTCCACAGTGGAAATTGGGGCTGTCTACAGGACATGGGAAGTGTATCTGCACCGGTTGTAGCAGGCATGGTCTAGCGAAACAAAACACCATCTTGCCTTGCCGGGGGTCAAGAAACTTGGGAGTTGTCATGAGTCGCGCTCCTGGCTGTCTTGATCAGGGGTTAATTATGGAAGCATGGGCCATGGGAATTTCAGCAGTTTCTTGGTTGGAGACGAGGAAGAAAGAGGCCATTGACATCGAGCAGGGGGAAACAGCTCGTATTTTCAATGATTTGGCATCCCTGAGGCGTGGGTCCCGGCTGTGAATATGCGTTACGTTCTTGATCAACTGTTGCCACGCACTGTCAAACAGCGTAATTCCAAGAAAGAACAAATCAAGGAGACCTAATTCTTATTCAAGGAGGCGTGATGTAGGTTAATTCTGGATCCAAATTAACTCAAACTCATTCACAAATTGTCACATGTGATGTGGACTGTTTTCATTCTAGTTTTACGTGTTCCGCGGGCTAGAACTTCATGAATATTTATTTCATGACGTAGTTGGGATCTGATTGGCAAAATAACGTCACGTGGAAATCAGCTGCAGCCAATTACGCTGCGCGCAGGGACTGCCTGTGGTGCGGAAGCACCATCCATCATCGCGTTGGCGGGACGGCCTGGATCGGAGATGCCACCAGACTAGTTCTAGGGCCAGCCAACTCCCCTCGGGCTCAAATCCCCGTAGCGATAATTTAGGCAGGCGGGCGAAGGGCTCTCGGCTGCCGAAGGAAAAAGGCTAACGGCCCGATACTAGTTTGGCATCCAGGGTACACAAAAAAGCTCTTCAGCTTCTTCAAAAGTACCAGTAGTGTGATATTGGGGGTGGGGTAAAAATATTGCACAAACAACTGTACAAGGATTACCCCGTCTGCTTGAACATTCATAAGCTAAACTACATGTACAAGGACAAAACAAGAATATCATGACAGAAAATGGTGTATTCTAAACTGCCACTGGTATTTGATATAACATATTGATCAGTTTGATTGCTTCTTTCAGCTTTGAAGATGATGAAGTAGCTTTGGTCCAACTTCAGATTAAGTTGTTAGGATTTTACAGGGCTGCCCATTGTCCTGCTATTGTCTGATGGATGAGTACAACCAAAACAGTACAGTACACCAAAACAGTACAACAATACAAAGCAGAAGGCTTAATTCTAGTAGTAGAACAACTAAGGAGCAACATATCTATGAAATGTTACAAATTATATGAAATCTATATATGATACTACACACACTGACAAACAGGAATGAACTTCACTGATACTCAGTGATAGTTAAATATGGTATCTTAAATATCAGTCTAGTTTGCAATATAGTCTTACCCAGTCAGCAATTTTCCCCCAAAGTTAATGAGTTAACAACTGGGTTTTCCACAACGTCCATGATGATGTGCCAATGGGAATCATAATGCACTACTAGTTTGCTGACATTTGGAGCCTGTGCATGGTAACACCACCCTAGTCTGCTCCGTTCCCTGGAAGCTTGCCCTTCCGATGATTTTCCATGGACCAGAGAACAAAGCTGGGACAATGGGAATGCAAATGACCACATCGTAGTCATTATCAGCCTCTGCCTTGTTGGGGACTCCTATTGCTTGTGAATGCATTATGCATCTCCTTTATACAATAGCAGATTCAACACCCCCTGCTAAGACTAGAGAACAGGCGCTACATGAGGAGAAGTGTTAAATCCTGCATGCAGGCCTGGACATGTCAAGGGTCCAACAGGAAACGTGAAGTTGATTTTCCTGACAACTGGCCTTGCTACATTTTGAACTTCCCCGGTTTATACTTGGCTGTTCCAGTAAAACTGACGTCATGGTTAAACAGTTACACTCAACTTATACCATAGTTATAGGCTGAAAAGAAAGCTTGTGAGAGTGAACAGGCAGGTTACATGAATCATTTAGTTGCACAAACGGTTGATATCTTTGCAAACAATCTGGACTGTTGACACATATTTTTCCCATCTATAACCAGCAGTCTCAAACCACAAAACTTTCCCTCGGGCCCAGGCTGCCCAGATCCCGAGATCTGACTCACCCACGACCCGGTGAACGCCGAACGTCGAACACCCCAAACAAACCTGCTCACAAACAAGCATAAACACTGAAGCAATATCCTGTTAGTAAGCAGTGTGAAAACGTCCTCAGTTGTAACACCATAACCTTCGTGCTCAGCCAAGTACTTAAAACATGTCTGTAGACGAAACGATACAACCAACGAGCGAAAGTTTGATGTGAAAACCTCGAATCGAAATGTTTAAAAGCCAACTGCCCACCAGGGACGATATTTTCCCACACAGTCATGCATTGTAAGTGAGCCCGGAATCACTTTAATAGCCTTACCTGACGACCTCCTTTCGTACCCACCACCACCTAAGCCCACTTTCTTTCCCTGTGGACTTTTTTCTGTTTTTATAATCCCATGTTGGCGTGCAAATAGCAAGGAAACTTGTTCATATCATGGTGTTCATATCCTGAGCTCTGGTCCCGAACACAACCTGAACGCCAGCCATCTTCAGCAGGGCACCATGGGAAAATGACGTAATCAGCATCAGGTGCTATATTTAGCCAACACAACGCTTAGTCCTGATTGGTCAGAAGTAACGCCAAAATTTTCACTTGATACTCGGCATATTCCAAGGACATTGGAACATGTGTTCCAATGTCCTTGCATATTCCAAGCAGATCATACGCATCATCTCCACCAGTCTCCTGGATTGCAGGCTGAACGAATAGTACAAATCGGCCCAAAAGGGGAAGGGAAGAATGTCCAATTTGCCTTCTGAATCTAAGGCCATCTACAAAGGAGTCTTGTGGAGACTAGGATTGAGCTACAGCGAAACAACACATGGTCGGGTGAATGTGCAGTCTAAGTGGCATGGTCGATCATAAAACATTGACCATCACTGCTGCCGTCCCCAGCAGTACTGCAAAGCTGGGTCGACCCGGACCAGGACGGTGCAAGGACATGGTCTACTGCAAAAATCCGTGTAAAAAACGGTCCGCCGTAGCAGGACCCGCCAGTTTTCACACTGACGAGAACAGAAATTTTACACTGATCTTAGCCACGTGGGCCGAGAAGCATTGACCACTGTCGCAAATAGATAGATATGGCTTGTCCGAGAGGTTATCTGCTGATTGTGGTCATACAGTTTCAGTACATAGCCCACACATTGGGCATCTCATTGGCCCTAATGCAAATTAATCATCAAAAGGTATTTGCCAATAGTTATGATGTTTTAGTGCGTTAGCGTTACGATAAAAAAAAACTGATCTCAACTGTTACTAATGCTTATCTTTTTTTTTTTTGACAGTGGTCATTAGAAATGTCCCTCCTGAAACTAACGTACGGTAACGTAAGTTGTACGACAGTGCTGAACGTTAGGTTCAGTTGATTTAACGTTATATGCGACATCTATCGACAAGAAAGCAAAGCGCAGGTAATGTTAGCTACTGGCCATGGTTGATAATAGTTTCCGGGGATGCTCATCACCCGATCTACAGCTGCGTCTGAGCTTCTGGGTGGTCATGTAGGATATAATAGTTTTATAGCATTCATAATTCATATTGAAGTGCACAACATGGAAGTTTGATTGTTGATTGGCTTTGAACAAGAGGTTAAAGGGCAAGTGTCACTCCCAGGTTAGGTGCTTGTTTACGTGGCGAATGCAAGAAGAAAGTTCTGGCTTTCGCCTGAATTTATTGGTCAGGAACACTAGGTATAAACTAAGCCGTTTCTAAACGTTTTATCTTTCACCGTAGGCAAAATTTGATGTTAATTTCCTCAGATAT